TGCAAAAACATGCAACCTACGAAGGAAACTTGTTTCTGCAATTATTTCTTTCCTATGCTATTCGGCTTCAGCAAAACAACAAAACTACTCACGTTGTGTAATCTTCTTGTGAGTTTCTCAAACAAAAAATTCATCATTCATCAATGTTTCACTCCATGCATCGACTTATCTTCCATCAGATTCACAAGTTCCAAACGGACACGAAAATAAAATGCAGCAAAGATGCTAGGGAACAGACTTGCAGCGAACATACACATAGTGTCTCAAATGGAACAACAAACCAATCCCATACTTACGAACCTTAGCAACTACAAACGGGATGGCTATTGTTGCACAAAGCCCAGGGAATTCTATCCCTGTTGCCGCAACTCAAAGCACCAAGACAACTAAGCATAAAAATTTGGAAGAGGCACTACAACCTTATTAATTTTTCCTCAATGATAACAGGTCATCAAAACAGGTTTTCTACATATTACTGCTATCATATCATGACATAGGGAGGAACCCAGATGTCTTTGGTATATAAAAATCCTCCAAACACACACTAAACCCCTCGGAATACAGATTTTCCATCAACAAGGGTGTCAAAAAAAATGAAGAATCTTAACACCTCCTTAGGACCTTTTGAGAAGAAAATAGATGTAATAACATCAATAAAAGTAGACTGCAATAGATCCCTATTAAAATCAAGTTTGATCAATTCGCTACTGTGAGTCAAGTATCTTTCTCCACTACACTCAAAGGAAGCAGGTAATAACAGCAAAAGCAAGAGACAAAGTGCAGCAAACATCCTTTCGGCAATTTCTGGTTCCAAATGCAGATTTCAGGAGCTCTTTGATCACAACTTCCCATCTAATCTCCAAAGAAACTTGAACTAAGCAACGAAACACATATCTTTCACATCCCAACCAACACCACTTATAAGGAAATCATGCAAGTTCTATGCAGGTCTACAGGAGGTATAAGTCTGCAATTTTTATGGCGGTTTCGGTTCTGTGAATGCCGAATGCCAATTTTCATCCCAAACATAAACTAGTTAGCTTCAACCAACTCAAATGTGGATCAAAACAGCGATGCAACCATTCATTCCTTCCATTTTTAATACCCAACTCTCATGTTTTAATGCAATGACAGAAGTAAAGAGTATGCAGCAAATCTGGAAAATGTTTTGTGACTTTCATGCTCTGAAACTTCGGCAACATCATGTTGCCAGTTCTAAAAATCATCTCAAACCAGAATCCAGCTAAAACTTATCATTAAGTAGTATACTAAGCATGCAAAGGAAAAGAGTTGGTCGACACTTCTGCAAACAAACAAATTGAGACTATACAACTCAAACAGAAACAACCACATTTTACAACCCAAAAAATGCATTCCTCGCAGACCCCAGCGATGAACTTCAGTGGAACTTGCAAATCCATTAGGCAACACACTAAACCAATACTCTAACATGATTACCAAGAACAAATAGCAAACAACCATCAAGAGTGTCAAAATAGTCATGATTTCGGCAATTCTGCAACCTATTGCTGCAAAGTTGCAGCTTTAAACTCTTTACACAACCGAGAGGTATTCATGCATAGCAATTCGAGAAAATCATGATAGATTCGACACTCAACCAAATGCAAAAACTTGGGATAAGGGGAAAGGACTATCCAGCAAACTTTCGGGCATCAAATGCAATTACTACCTTAAACATGTAAGATGATCTTCATAAAGCAAGATTTAAGTGTTGGATTAACATCTATTTGATTAGATGATGAAGTCAGAAATTTCGGTCATTAGATGCTCAAGACAACCGTGGATAGCAGCCCTCTTTCCTAGCATAATTCTCACAAAGAAAATTCTGATAACAAACTACAATTCCAACTCTGCTCTCTCGGCCATCACACAGTTTTTTTTTCAACTTTTAGTCAGTCCTAAACAGAATTTTCCTTCGGTTAAAACCTTGTATTTGGCACTTAAATCTCACATGCACAACTACTGAACTGATTAGCTAGCATTTCCAGTCCAAATTCAGTTCGGTTATTACCAAGAATTCGTCAATCAACCAGCAATTTGTTCAGCTTCCCTCGGATGAGCTTGCATGCAAGCCGATTTTGTTTCATCTCTTCTTTTCTAGCTTAATCTGAGCTAACTAACTTCATGCAAGACTTAACCATCCAGTTCTTAGTTAGTTAATAACATTTAAAAGCTCAGATTACTCCAAGAAACAAGATTAACGCTGCATTATCCAAATCAGTTCTCGGCCAACTCATTTCTTTTGCAAAACAGATTTTCTCAGGTGGTAATTTCATCATCCAGTCGCACCATCCAACATGCAGACTCTTAATCTCTATCATCTACCATTAATTAGCTTAAATTTGGCTCAGAAATTACCTCTGTAACAACTCAGCTCACGCACAAAAAAATCTGAAAATTTTTCTTCCTTCCTCTCGGCTTCACGCACCAGTTCGGTTCGCGGGTTGGTGTTGCAGCTGCGGTTGTTGAAGTGGGTGGATGATCGCAGTTGGTTGAGGGTGAAGGGTGCAGAAATGGGAGGAACTCACGCAGTGTCTTCCTTTCCGTTGCTCTAGCTCACGGTCTGGACAGAAGGGAGAAGAAGAAAGATTGCAGCTCGCTGTTTTCTTCCTCTCGCGGTGCTTACCAGGTAAGTCTCTCCCTCTCTTTTGGTCTTGGTCCGAAGCTAAAAAAAATGTGGAGTGGAACTGGAATGTTCTTTGTGGTTTAGGCTGAGGTAGTGGAGTGGAGCTGGAATGTTCTTTTTGGTTTAGGCTGAGGTAGTGGAGTGGAGTCGGTAGTTTATAAGATGTAGTGCTGCAGTGGAGAAATGGATCCGGCAGAAAATGGAATTGTGATCCTTTTTTTTTTTTTTTTCTTTTTCTCAACTTAATAATTTAACAAAAATAATAGTAAAACTAAATAATAATAGAAACAACAATTTTAATTACAAACACATCAAAATCAATCAAACTAGAAATAACAAAATTACCATTTTCGATCTTTTCTTTTCATTTTTCATCATTTTTTCCTTCTTTTCTTTTTCAAAATAAATTAACAAAAATAAACCAAAATGCCAAAAAAATTAAATTTGAATGTATTTTTGTGAACAATTTTCCTTTTTCTCCTTTTTTTTTCATGATTTTTCTACGCTAAAACTTAAAAAAAATAAAAATAGAAACTAGAAACTAAAAAAAAACTAAAAGTAACCACGACAAATGAGAATAAAAAGTAAAAGAAATTACACCAAAAATTTGGTGTCTACAGTGTCAACTCTTGACTCAAAAACCAAAAAGCACTCTTCCAGCAATCTTTAGTCCAAATTTGTAAGGCTCTAGCTTATTTTCCTTGTCATAATAAACATGTTGGAAAGATGCATCTATTTATCAGTAGCTCGAGTACTAGTTTATCTTCACTTGAAAATTCCCATCGAAAGGTCAAAGAAGATTATTGGTAAAAATCAAGGGAATATTGGAATCATTTGCTCTTACTTTTCCAAGTTTTATCAATTAGTTTTTTCTACACATAAAACTTTGAGTAGGTTATCCAATTCTAATATTAGGGTAAGCCAGAATCTGTAGGTCGACTTACACTCAATATTAGGTCGTCTTTCCTTTTGCAAAAACAAATTAAGCCCCTTTCTCAAAAAAAATTGTTAACAAAATATCTTGAATTGCTAATTGTTTATGATCACCTTATGATTAGCTCAACAATCAAGAGAGCGATAAGAGACATTATAGCAGAATAAATCCGGTCAAACTTGAGTTATGTCCATTCTAATTCTCCCTTGCCACCTCCAAATGCAATGGTTGTATTGACTCTAAGATGGAGAAATATGAAAAGGGTTGATTGTCTTATTTTCGTCCTGATACATAGTTGAGTACTTGAAATAAAAATCATGTGATTTCATGTAGAGCAACGTCATATTTATTTCAAGTGTGATTATGTTGGGTCAAGTTCTTTAAGGAGATGCGATTAGGTTAATTTTGCCAAGATCGTACAGTACCAATATTATCCACTCCCAAAGGACCAAATTGATCCTTTTCTTCCAACCTTTTCCAGTTGATAAACTTATATATTCAAACAAGTTTAAAGCATTCATAGGAACAAATTCAAAGCAGTCGAAATGATTAAAATAGTTGTATCAGTTAATCATGAGCCTCCAAAAAAATATATAGAACAATTTCAAATTACCTAACCCATTACCATATCCAGAGACTATCTAAAAGAAAGGTGTTCTGAAATCACTAAATACTTGTTTACCTGAAATGAAACTTCTTGATACGCTTTATTTCAATTTTTAATCTGCTGAAATCTGTGATAATAAGGGAACAATTGAAGTATATTTAGAGCAATATTTCCACTGTACAGTTATTCATTGTCCTACACATGAAAATTTTTACCAGTATTAATCATTTCTTTGTTCTTTTGTTTTTGGTATTCTTCAGTACTTCAGCTCCTCCAAATAGTGCTTATAATCATATGGCCTGCGAGTCTTCGATATAATCAAAGTGCACATCGACTTTATTGCGGAGTAAAGATCAATTCTCTTTTTCAGGCTTCTCAGAGCTGCAGGCAAGGGCCTAGAATTTGTAGCAATTGTACCATTCCCAACGTGCATGCATGCATATATGTCAGCTGATTGCATTAAAATCATGTAATCATTTAACACTCACGCTCAAATCTCAACCGTTGATCCTTACAATTTTGTCTTTTATGCATGATTTTACAGACATATTTGCCCTTCTGCAATAATCCTTCTCATATACTAGTAATTATATATATATACCATTTCCCACACGCATGCTTGCATGTTTGTCAGCTGATACATTGAAATCATGTAAGCATTTAAGCTTCACAGCCTTCACTCTCAAATCTCAACTGTTACCTTTACAATTTTGTCTTTTATGCATGATTTACGTATATATAGCCCTTCTGCTATAATTCCTTCTCATATATTGGCAAGTTCATCACTGTAAGCTAACATTTGCATGGTAGAAATGTCTAGTAAGGTTGTTGTCTTGGTGCTTGTAATTAGTGCCCTTGCATGCATTGTTGGGGCTCGAGTTTTGTTGAATAATGAAGGAAACAAAACCTCCGTCCTTCCGCAAAGTGAAGAAGGCAATGCAGAAGAAGATGGTGGTAATGGATTTGATCAAAGCCGGGCGGTGATGAAGGTGATGCGGAAGACAATGGCGATGGATTCGATGGCAGTGGTACTATAGGCAGTGGTTTACGTCGTCCACCTCCAATGGGAGGCATTTCAGGAAGTACTGGTGCTGGTAGTGAGCTGTTTGGAGGTGGTGTTGACCTCGGAGCTGGTGGTGGAGGAGGACCACTTGGTGGTATAGGTGGAAGGATTGGTGTTGGAGGTGGCGGTGGCGGTGGCAGTGGTTCGGGTTTGGGCTTGGGTCTGGACCTGGAAGTGGCATTCACGTGGGGCCGGACTTGGCGTGGGTTTTGGAGGTGATGCTGGTTTCGGCCACGGTGGCGAAAGTGGTGGGCTCGGTGGCAGAAGTGGTGGATTTGGTGGAGGATTTGGTGGTCCGGGAGCTCCTTAGAGGATATTCTCCATGACTTCTATTGCGTCCTAAGTGTGATAGGAAGTATGCACTGTATCTTAAGTGTTTAGGTCTACCTTATGGTTGGGGTTACAACCTATGTTGCTATGTAATGTGGTTTATTTGAATAATAGCTCTATTTGGAAAGTTTCAGCTTATGGTGTAGAACAATGCCTTTCAATTTCAAGTGAATAGTAGTCTCTTTATAGAAGGGCAAACTCATGCTTCATAAGTAGATCATTAAAGCCATTATCGCATATAACATTTCACACTGGAGAGTTTAATTCTTTCATAGTTTAATCCTAAACTTAGATTATTATTTACAAGTGTTTGATCCAATTTTTAATGGACCCTTTGAATTGGCGGAAAATGTTTCATTTCTTGTTAGCATAGTATTATTGAGGCCTGAGAGCATTAGGTTAGGGTTCTTTTGTCTTTGTAAGTCTATGTTTGATTAAAGAGACTTCGGCCATAGCGAATATGATTCTACCATTATGGGCATATAGTCTCAAATTAGATTTTGGGACCAAATTGTGCTTAATACAATAAAGGAAAATTCTATACTAATTAACATACAAATTAAGCGACAAAATAAATTAAATGATGATCCACCTCTTTAAATTTAGATATTTTATATTTGTATCTGTCATTTAAAAATTTCGTAATTTACAACTTTTTTTGTAAGTGCACTCTATGATAAATTATAAACCAAGATTGTGAAGTAGAATTAGTAGCATGTATTCCAAAACGTGCGCCATTTTATGAAAGGCCCTTCAGATAAATCTTTTACTGCATTCTCAGGAACTGTCTTCTGTAATCTTTTCCTGTGTTCCAAAGAACTGCCTTCTGTACTAAATATATCAACTTGGACACAAGAATGCATCACCAAAAAGACTTTGAATAGATAATGCCATTTACGAGGGTGAGAAGATGTCCAGTTCAGATTGCCCAATAGAAAAATTGCATCAACTGTGGACCCACTTATTACTTGATTTTTCATATGATAGGTACTTATGTTCCACTTTAACATACAAAGGAGTATCCCAAATTATGAAATATCCTCCTTCCTACATTATAAATTCCTGCAGTGTGAAAAGTTTTCTGGTGATAGTACAAATTTTACTATTTTTAGTTTTCTAGATTTCTTGGGAACATCTTTTTACTATCTTGTACATTGTGTTTAATTTATGGACATGATACTTGATCATGTTCACTCTTTGCCGGTAGATTTTGATGGCAAGAGCATGTTTTTAGTCCTTCAAGGCCTTGAAATTGTCAAGACCTGGTCTAAAGTGTTGGCTGTTGTTGGTCTATCGTGCGTGAAGTCTCAGGATTTTGTAATATGTTTATCGAGCCAAAGAGGTTTTGATCTAATGACTAAAATTGAAATTTCAAAAAAAAAAAAAGAAAAGAAGTTCTAGATTTGAATGTCATTTTTCTCTGCTACTTTTTTAAATTCTACTTTTCTCCCGCTAGAAAAATATATTAAAAAAATATTTACCAAACTCGTTAAAACAATATACATTGAGTTTTCAATTGTATATACGCAAATGGGAAGTTTTAGAATTGCATGCATTGGAAGGCTAATAACTTGAAATAAGTAGTATTTGCAATCTTTTTCTCTAAAATCAAGAAAATCAAATAGCTATATACATTTATTATTGCCCATACTAAATTACAACTATAATATGTAATTTGTTTATTTATTCACATAATAACTTATTTTTATTATTTGATAAATTAACCAATTAACAAGTCACATTTTTGTTTACCTTACTTAGTATGCACTATAAAATTTTCAGTAAGCAATTTTATTTTTATTTTTACTTTTGTTACCCAGTTCACTCAGCGAATTTTCCATAACCCAGGCTAATTGAACAATTGGCTAGTGCATTGAGAGACTGGGCTCAGAATGTTGTTAAGATAGGAGATTGGGCTAGTCCGTTGACCCAAATATCGGGTGTGAGATTTAGTGGGGTTCTGTAAGGGGTGCAAACCAAACGAGTTAAATTGAATAACACACAAGTTTGCTCGGCCAAAATTCAACTTCAAACTTATATATTTTTTTTTTGTCAAGAAGTCAATTGACTTTTACTGACTAAACAAACCTAGACCCCAGATCATACTCCAAACTTATATTGAGCGAGTTCGATTTCAAGTTTTTAGACTAGTTGAGTTTGAATTTAATATGTGAAACTTGAAAACTCGTTGAGGTTAATGGAACTCGTCAAGTTTGATCAAGTTCAATCGAACTTCACACATACACACGCACATAGATACACATATACATACATATATATATATATATATATATATATGTAATTTTTATTTATTAGTATGAAATATCTATTTTGTCTCTTGTTTAAAATTATATAAAATATAAATTTATATTTTTAAACTTGATTGGGCTCAAAATAAGCTAAATTGGGCTCGAAATAAGTTCGATTGGGCTTGATAAATATGACCTTGAGTAATGCAAAATAAAATTGAATTTGAACTCAAGCCAGACTTTCGAACTTTCAAGAACTCTATGAGTTCGAACTTGAGTTCCACTCTAAATTTTTTAACTCGAGTTGAGGTCGAATAATATACTATTCACTTGACTCGACTCGATTAATGTTAACTTTTTTTCAAGGGAAAGAAAATGGGATGGAAGAATCGAGGTTTTTGGACCAAATCTTAAAATCCTTCGAAGAGTGGCCACATTCATATTGAAGATATGACACATAAACCAAACCACGGAGCAAGAGTAACCTACATCTGATAAAGGGATATTTTTTTAATACCTTTTTTCCAACTATCATTTTATCAAATATGTTAAAAATCATATCTTTTGAAAAAAGCAAATCTGGCGATTGGAAACTTGCACAGATTTTTGTAGGATTACAATTATTTTATCTTATTTTTAAAATATTTTTTGGAATTTTACAGTCTAATTTTTATCTGTTCTTTAGATATGTAGTAACTATTTTTTAGATTTATTCTTTGATACCTGTGTATATCTAATGATGTAACTTCTGCCATTATTGCAGATTTTGATAAAATTTTATCAAAAAAAAAAAAAGCATAGCAAACGGAGAAAGGAAAAGAAAGGCATTTCTGCAATATATTCTTTGCTTCAACCACCATGCCATTGTGTATCTATTCTTCAAATTTGTTCTTTGATACCTGTATATGTTTGATGATGTAACTTCTACCATTAGTTCAAATTTTGACGAAATTTTTATCCAAAAAAAAAAACATAGCAAACGGAGAAAGGAAAAGAAAGGCATTTCTGCAATATATTCTTTGCTTCAACCACCTAGCCCTTGTGATATGCTTGCTTTGTACACATTCCGTTGATGTCTTTGAACCACCATTTAGTTTTCCTCTTATTCCGACATGAAATTGATCTTTCCTGAGTCAATCAATTTGCCTTGTATTAGAGTCCACTATCTGACTAATTTGATTAAATTTTCCCCAAGATGACAAGAAGGTGGAATGGATGAGAATTTGTTCCTGCAGAAATTGAGAGCTTAACATTTGATTTCTTTAAAAAAAAAATTTGAATTTCAAAAACTTCTTATTGCCTCCATTACATATTCTTTCCATTGATAGGGAAAAAAAATGATTCAACCGTTTTCCGCCCTTGTTATTGCTGAAGTGGTTTTGATACTGACCCTTCTGTTCAGAACACCTCTGAGAAAGCCAACGGTTATGATGGTGGACAAAATGAAGCAAGGTCGAGGACCTGTGGTAGCCAAGACCGTTGCAGGAACCTTGTTCATGATTTTCATCTCCACCCTCAACAATATCATGAAAATTCAGAATCGTGCAGTCGAGGCAGGCACAATTAACCCAACTGATCAGATTCTTTTGGTCAATCAAATTTTAGAAGCCATTCTCTTGGGTAAGCAAAAACTTTCATGTCTTCTTATGAATTCCCATGAATTGACTTTATTGTGTCTTGTGCATAAATTTATAAACCTACATGCATACGCTAATATTTATTGTCCTACCTACATGTAGACAATCGCCTGCTTGATTTTAACTATAGTTATACAAAAAACTAATGTGCATGGATTGCATGAGTCACGTTCTCAATTTAATTTCACTTTTTCAAAATTTAATTCTTAGTCCTCTTAATCAGGCAACTTAGCAGAAAAAAAAAGATTATCTTTTTATGAAATGACAGTGTACTAATTTTTTCTATACTAGCAACTTTAGATGTATATCACATATGCATGATTTGAATTTTAAATTTGAATTCATGTTATGTGGCATGATCTAAACTTGCTTATGTAAAAAATCTTTACATTGATAATGTATAAAAAGATTATCCAAAAAAAACTTGGGCAAATAGGACAATTGACGTTCTCGATGAGTTTTTTCTTTCTTGATTACTTTTTAAATTTAAGTTCCTACAGATGCTTCAAATACTACCAGAACATCAGTTGCGTTTAAATGTATCAATTATTCACGAAATCTTGAATTGTATAATCTGGTAGTTTTATGATTTTCTTTCTTACGAAATCTCATTTAAAAATTACTATTGGACCTCGGAACTACATTAAAATGAAACTCCATTTCTTAATTCGAACGTTAGGATTTCTCTAAAGAGAATCTTAAAGAAAATCTTGAGAAAGATGGTTTTGTGCAGGTTTTAGCTTGTTCCTGGGAGTGATGATTGACAGACTTCATTATTACATCAAAGAGCTTCATCGTCTAAGGAAAAGTTTGGAGGCCACAAAGAAATCGAACTATGAAACTGATCAAGACTGAACAGCAGGGCAAGAAGCAATTAAACATAAGTTTTTTCCTTTCCATTAAATCCTCTGAAGAAGAAAGCCCGGATTTTAAAGCGAAAATCCTGGGGATAGTGGTCTTTACAGCCCTGTCAAGATGAAAAGTGGAGATCGATAAGAACAAA